AGAATTTTGAGCATTACTTTACTAGCGTGTGAGATGAGTGCAATTATACGGTAGTTTGAGCATTCTTTGGCATTGCCTTTCATTGGGGTTGGAATGAAAACTGACCTTTTCCAGTCCTGTGGCCACTGCTGAGTTTTCCAAATTTGCTGGCATATTGAGTGCAGCACTTTCACAGCATCATCTTATCCCCGAGAGTTTCCCAATATTAATGCAGTCAGTTTATTGGTCACTTCCTTTATAATTAGTGCTTATGATTTTTTTTGGTCCTTCCTTGTGGCATGTGGGTTCTTAGCTCCCTGAATAGGGATTGAACCCAAGCCCTCTGCATTGGAATCATGGAATGTTAGCCACTGGACCACCAGGGAAGAGCCACTGTGATTTTTTTGAGATTGCTGGCTTATGCCTATTTTTCAGGCAACCTTGAAAAGCCTGGTTAAGTAACTAGTAAATTTGTTTCCTTGCTGCTTCCTTTTGTCTTCATTGCTGTACGTGGGCTTTCTCTAGTTGCAGCAAGCAGGGGCTACTCTTCATTGTGGACTGCAGGCTCCTCACTGTGGTGGCTTCTCTTATTGTGGAGCATGGGCTCTGGGCGCACAGGCTTCAGCAGTTACAGCACCTGGGCTCTAGAGTGCAGACTCAGTAGTTTTGGCTCATGGGCTTAGTTGGTCTGTGGCATGTGGAATCTTCTCAGACCACGACTGAACCTGTGTCCCCTGCATTGGCAGGCAGGTTCTTAATCATTGGGCCACCTGGAAAGTCCCAACCTTGCTACTTCTTTCCTACAATAATACTAACCTTGTTCATGCAGGGGCTTTAATTAAGAAAGCAGAAGTTTTTCTTGTGACTTTGTAAAGATCCCATGATATGTTCTCTCCATCACTGAGTCTCTGTCCCTGTGAGGGCTAAGCCACTCTGGTTCCCTAGTCCTTTCGTGATTTTGGCTCAGAGAAGGCTAAGAATTAGTCTAAGGAGAAGCCCATCAGTTCCCTTCAGGTTAGACCCAAGATTTAAGAATGAGAAGCCCTGGAGGTGAGAGGAAATGGGGGGGGGGGAATGACATATACCTATCTGTCCTCTCAGGGTCAGGACTTCTGCCATGCAGGAGCTCTCCTTTCTAAGATCTGTGCTCCTTAAGAATTTGAACTGAACACCCCCCCCCCACTCCCCTGGGCCACAGAGACTGAAGATGGTTCACCGGTGAACAGTGCTACTCAGCTCAGGAAACAGCGCACTTGAGTCTCCTTCTGGGATGATCCATCTTGCCCTGGAGCCAGTTGCCTTACTTGGGCCATCTACCCTTTGTGGGGGCAGATCTTCTGTATCCATCCTTCAATATCCAGAGGAAAGGTAGATGAGTACATTGATGGCTTCAGGGTAATCTGAAGTGCCCAATAAATGCAGTGAGAAGTTGAAGTTTTGTTTTTTTTTCTTTAACAATTTTATTTATTTATTTTTGGCTGTGCTGGGTATTTGTTGCTGTGAGAGCTTTTCTCTAGTTCTGACAAGAGGAGGGCTATTCTCTAGTTTCAGTGTTCCGGCTTCTCACTGTGGTTTCTCTTGTTGCTGAGCACGGGCTCTAGGGTGAGAAGGCTTCAGGACCTGTGACTTGTAGGCGCCAATAGTTGCAGCTCCTGGGCTCTAGAGTTGTGGCGCACAGGCTCAGTTACTCTGCAGCATATGAGGTCCTCCCTGATCAGGGGTCAAACCCCTGTCTTCTACATTGGCAAGTAGATTCTTCACCACTGAACAGTGAGGAGAGCCCGAGTTTATTTTTTTAACCAGTCTATCTGGAGGACATCCAAGAGGTAAGATAAGTAGTTCAATGGAATTATAAGATGACAAGTTTTTGACCTTGGTATATTTATCCT